GCTGTGGGGGGGGGGGTGGAGAAGGGGATGCGCTGCACTGTTGGGGCTTCGCAAAAGGCTGTTGCAAGAGAGAGAGTGTAGTCTTGTCCTTTTCTTCAATGAGAGAAAATAGAGAGGATGATGCTGGGAGGATGTATGTGGAAGCGGGCTCCGTATCTGTATCCATAAACAGAGGAAGGTATTGATGATTCTTCTCTCCACTTGCTGTCTGGCCCCTGGGCTGTCTCCTGCAGTGTTCTTCTGCTTGCTTATTTGTTAGTTTTTCTCCGGGGCTGAGGTAGTAAGTTGTGGCAGTTAGCCATGTGTGTGGCTGTCAGACTTGCGGCTGGCTGGTGGACTGCTGCAGTAGCAGGAGTAGAACAGAAAGAGAGTGGGGAAAGAGACAAAAAGAGAGAGATTGAGAGAGGAGAGAGAGCGCCACTGACAGATCAAGAGCAAGAGAAAGATAGAGTGTGCAAAGGAGACAGTGTATGAGAGAGATGGAGAGGAGGAGGCACGCGAGCACTCTAACAGGCAGCCCACCGTCACAGAAGCAGCAGGAGCAGCATTCTAATCCACTTCTTGTTTATTCTCCAATATCTTGCCTTTCTCTGTTCTCCCCCTTCGATGTGTGTCGGTGTTGCAGGCAGCTAAGATGCTCGCTCTGCCCCCTCCCTTTGTCCTTCAGCGGGAACGTGAATGTACTGCTGACGCACTGCTCTCAGCTGCTCAGCCAACCTCAGAGCAGTGCATTGGTTTGATGCAGTGTTCCTGTGTGTTAACACATTCAAGCTACCCTCCTCCCCATCCCATTTTCTCCCTCCCCTCACTGTAACCATCTTCTCCTCTTTCTTTCTTATTTTCTGTCTGTTTCTCACGTGCCTGTCCCTTGTCTTCTTTCTTTACTCTCACTCTCCACATCACTTTACTTGTGCTGATCTACCCATCTCTCGTGCCGTCTGTCTCTACATCACTTTCCAACCAACCTATCATAAAAATTAAAAGCCTCCTATTCCAAAGTATCAGACAGAGGCAAGAGGTGAGCTCCTCTACTTCAACTCCAGAGTGGTTTGGTGCACTGTTTCTCTGTCCTGTCAGCGCAGCCCTGCACCAGTGTTTTTCTTTTGAGATGCAGCTTGTTGCTATTGCTCACCTCTTGTAAGGCATTAGTTTGCCAAGAGTTTCCCTCATGTATTATTAGTATAAATGACAAATAGAGAGGACTGTTTGCTTTTCTTATTTTGTCAGTTTTAAAGGATTTATTTGGTGTGTGACTAATTTGCAAGGTGGAGAAGGTTGGGTCGGGGGGTCTGTGACATCATTGAGGACTGAAATGCTGACTCTGCTTCTCTGTGTCTGCTGGGCAGGCTTCTCTTCAGAGGAGGAGAAAGAGGAAAGAGCTCACACATAGTAATCTCTTGGAAAGATGAGAGAGAAAGATGGAGAGATAAAGGAAGAGAGACTTAAGGGAAGATAGATGGGGCTGGGTAGGAGGAGATATAGTCACATCCTTGGTGAAATAGGGGAAAGAAGCCTATAGAAGAATGAAAAAAATTAGATAAATAGGGATTGCAATGAATGT